GGATAATTTCTTTTAAAAACATCATTTGAGTTTTTAAACTATTTTTAATGTTCAAATAATATTATAAAATTCTTAAGAAACCCATTAAGGTATTTAACCAATGGAGATGGCCTTAGAGAAAGGGTATTTCCGTCCATTCTATAACCTGCAGGAAAAAGGTACAAACCAGTCACTCTTGCTTTTGTGCTCTCTTCTCTCTCACGAAGCCATTAATTCTCCAAATTCTCTCAATACTTTTGGTGAAGGAAGCAGAAAGATCCAGAGAGAAAGAGGTAATGATTCTCTTTTTTTTTTCTTTTACGCTTCAATGGTGCTCTGTTTCATTTTTTGTTTACATGGATTTTTGTTGTTTTCTTCAGCTCTCGTCTTCGTTACATTCTCTGGATCATCCCTGAAAAAGCAAATTCTCATCTCTATCATCATAATCATCGTTTCGATACAGATTTGGTAAGATACTGTTTAATCATCACTTGCTGTTTTTTGTTTTCACTCTGGTTTCAGAGTTGCCTCTGTATTTTTTTGTTTCTTTGCGTCAACGACGACGAGAATGCTTGTCGATGATTTCGTTGAAATTTCTGGTTTGTTTTGCTAGAAATTCTTCTCGGTTTTAGATTACAGCTCTTGTTTTATTTTGTTTTTCTCTTGAATCAGAGTTCGCTTTTGATCCTCTGTTTTTTTTTGTTGTTGTTTCACATCTCAACGAACGAAGAATGTATGGTCATGATCTAGATCGAAATTTGTGGTCTATTTTGCTAGAAATTGTTCACGACTTTTGTTTACAGCTACTGTTTTTTTTGTCTTTCCTCTGGTTTCAGAGTTTCAGGCCAAAGTAATTGTTCCTCTGTATTTTTGTTTCATGCCTCAACGACGACAAGAATGTTCCGTTGATGATTTTAATCGAAATTTGTGCTCTATTTTGCTAGGAATTGTTCATGGTTTTAGACCCTTACAATTCGAAATGGTTTTGTATCTAATTTTCACAGGAAATGGAGAAAAAGAGATGTGCGGTGTGTCGTCATAAGAGGCATAGATGCCCTGATGATTGCATCTTTGCTCCACATTTCTCTGGGGCTAATGAATGGAAATTACAAGCCATACTAAGTGGGAATCTCGGAGTTGCACAGTTAGAACGAATTCTTCAAGAAGAAGCTGTGGACTCGCTTGTGACTGGTGTGATTGATCAGACCCGACGCCAGGTTGAAGAAATTGAACGACAGCTCAAGATTGTGAACAATAATTTGGTCTTGCTTGGATCGCAACCATTTCTTGACAACTTGCCCGCTACACAAGACTTACCCACTGATCAACCTTCCTTAGACTTTGGGCACTCCGGACAACAACACGGCATGAACACTTTCTTTGGAGGTTTATACCACAACCCTTGGTATGAACAAGGCTCGTCCTCAAATGCTTCAATGGGAATGAACGTAGCACATCAAGTTGTACCTTTTCATCCAGCCACAACAACCGGGTTTGCTTCCACTACTTAGCTCTCCTTTTGGTCCATGGCCATATTCTCTACTACAACCGGGTTTGCTTCCTCTACCAAGCTCTCCTCTTACGAATCCATGGCCATCTTCTCCCGCAATGTACTATGGACAGCAACTACAACCGGCTTTGGTTTCTCCTCTACCAAGCTCTCCTCTTGCGAATCCTTCTCTTGGAGTGTCCTATGCACAACAACCAGACCCGATTGGAGTAAATAACCCCTCGACTCAAGAAGCTGCTAATCATTCTTCCTCTGTCGTACAGCAACAACAACAAGGAAGCAGCCACATTTGTTTCGATCAAGATCTTCTGAATGACATCTTCTCCAAGCCTTATTGTAGAAATTGATGTTCTATTGACTTGAATGTTTTATCTTACAAAGCAATGTATTTATACAAGGTAATTAGACGGCTTACCGTAACCTAATTCACCCTCTTAACTTAAAGCCCATGCAATATAACTATACAACCTAAACATATATAGCCCA